GATGCAGTTGTCATGGAGAGCGACTTGGCGCGGACCTTGAGAGGGAAGATCTCACCAGTCACAACCCATGCGACAGGTCCCCATGAGCAGGCGAAGAAGAAGATGTAGATGCAGACGAATGCGATCAAGGCCTGCTGGGCAGCCTGGTTGTCAATACCAGCAACGGTACCGGTAATGGCAACAATGAATTGACTGCAGAAAGTCAGTATGTGTCTCACTTGCACTTTGTATAGTCAGAACTTACCAGACAGCCATACCGACGGCACCGAAGAGGAGAAGGTTGCGGCGACCCCACTTCTCAACAAGATAGAGACCGGGGAAGGTGGAGGCGACGTTGACGCAGGAAGTAATCATGGTGACGACGAAGGGGTTGCTGATGCCCGAGTTCTGGAAGAAGGATGTTCCGTAGTAGAAGATGAAGTTGACACCAGTGAGTTGCTGGAGAGACTGGAGGGCGCAACCAGTGAAAAGGCGCTTGCCCAAGTTACCACGGAAGCAGTCGAGGTAGGTGGCCTTGCCAAGAGACATCTCATACTCGTGGTTGGCAGTGATCTCAGCCAACTCCTCAACAAGAGCCGGGTCGTCAACGTTGAGGCGGCGAAGGGTAGAGAGAGACTTGGCAGCCTTTTCTGGGCGGCCCTTCTTGATGAACCAGCGAGGAGTCTCAGGAAGCCAGATGCAGCCGGTGAAGAGGATGATAGCCCAGGCGAATTGAACAGCGATAGGGATACGGTAGGAGCCAGTGTCGGTCCTGTCCTTCGTGGAGTTGTTGACGATAGCAGCGAGTAGAAGACCGATGGTGATAGCAAGCTGGTAGCAACCGACAATAGTACCACGGATCCACTTAGGAGCAGTCTCGGATTGATAGAGCGGGATGGTGGCACTGATCATACCGACTCCGTAGCCAGCGAAGAAACGTCCAGCAACGAACATGGGGATGGCAGTGGCGACAGTCTGGAGAATGACACCAACACAGAAGACAATGTTGCTGACAACGAGACCGAGGCGGCGACCGAGGAAATCAGCAGTGGGTGCTGCGGTGAGAGCACCGAAGAAGGTACCGGCAGAGAGGATAGAGACGATCAGGGAGGTCTGCTCGGCGGTGACATCGAGCATGTTGTCCTTCTTGTTGATGTAGCCAGTGCTGAAAAGCTGGCGCCAGTGGTGCATTCCAAGAATACCACCAATGGTACCGGTATCATAACTATACTTGTTAGTAGAACTCTTGAGAAAGGACCAATCGTGCATACCCAAACAGAACACCACCAAAGGCAACGAACAGGCCGACCAAGATGGCGGGCGCGGTCGAGCCAGCTACGCCCTCAGGCTTCTTCAACATCAGACCCATGATTGGCAACTGTCTGTGGAAGTAGAATGGGTATGGAAGGAAGACTCAAGTCCAGAGAGATGGTTGAGTACGCGGATGAGGATGACTGTCACTCCAAGGCGGGCTGCCCATCTTTAAGTACATTTGGGGAACTGTTCACCGAGCCTGGGGATCTCCATGGGCAGCTGTCTAGTCTGGAGACTGGAAGCATGGGGTCAGCGCGCTAGTCCCGCGGCTGGCCAGCAGGCTAGCGACAGTAGGTCCGAAGCGACTGGGGTAGCTTAGTGGGTGGTCTTAGCCATGATGGTGTTGGAGCTAGAGCAGACCAGACGCTGACCACTAGCACGTCGCTGGCCTGTGGATGCCATAGCGTTCAAATCATCGTGAGCCAATTCTAGTAGATTTGGAAATCATGGAGCCGAGATTCAGTTAGCGCAACGTTACCCAGCGGTCCCACGTTCGTGTTGCTGGAAAACGATGGCAAATATCGTCGGGTTACGTGACACGCATGGTCAGTCTGCTGGCACACGCACCCAACAGTGAGATGACAGTCGCGTGCCGGGGCGAAGACGGGGCGTAGGAGCAGCTAGCTGATAGGACACTAGATGGTAAGCGTCGCCTTTAGCCGTCATGACCTGTCAAGTCGGGTGCGTGTAAGCCATGAACCACTGACCTCATTCTGCGGGGATGCATCTTGGTATGCAGGCAGACACCGTTCATCGCCTCTGCTCGATAGACGTAGTTACGGAGCAAACCATCAACTTATGTTCGTCTGCTGTTGATCGCCAGACGGGCACAGCACATTACTCAACGAATCCGTGATGTTTCGCTGGTCAATACGATCACCAATTGGCAACGCGTATGCAGACAAGTCTTTCCATGCGCGATTGCTTAGACAGACGGCATCCAGCTGTTTGCAGTATGGTCGTGGAAGGATTCTGGAATATCGCGACTCCGGTGCTCGGTGTTGCTAACATTGGCCGAAGAGCTGGTACCAGCGGGTAGTCTGTGGGAAAGCAAGCGCATATCGAAGAGGTGGGGAGATGAGTAGCGTGCAGGATTTTGCTTCTGGCCGCGCCAAAGTCGCAGAAAGACCCCAGGGTAAACGGGGTGCATTAGTTCCCATGCCCTCCGTGAGGCTCAACAAGCATGCTAGAGCACGATAGCGTGGTCTCGGCCAACCAGATGGGGCGGCTACTGTAGCCTCGAACCATGCACCCAGCGCTTGGTCGAACTGTCGGGAGGATTTTCTTGGCCTAACCGATGTAGGGCTGGCAGTCCGGTAGTGTTTAGCTGCGCAATGCATCTGGAGGCAAAGATCTCGTATGCATGGAGTCTGGCAGCAACTCCGCTCAATAATCGGGGTCCACTCGAGACGTGTGCTTGGAACAGAACACGGCTGGTTATGTGGTCTGGATACCGAGATCCACCAAGGCTGCTCCGATATGGCGTGTCTAGAGAGAATCGCGGCACGGAGAGTTGGTAAAGTCGGAGTCGCCTCCACTATGCATGGGGCGCGTCACACCAGCGTGACTCCCCGTGGAGTACGAGTTTCATGGGGATCACGAGACTCGATTTCCAGCTGTCTCGTGACATTTGTGCCAGGATGATGGCGATTTTGCAGAGATGACGGGTTTGTGCCAAATTCGCAGGTCAGGTCAAGCTCGTCGGATCCCCATTCAAGCTCGCGAGCCAAGACGGCTTGGCCGAGGCACGCTGGCGCCAGGCCGAATAGTCGCTTCCTCCGATCCGAGAAGTCGGAGGCACTGACCCATAGTGTTCTCGGTATGCGCATGTCATGACACACTCATGAAGTACTCCTTGATGTACACCTATGGCTGGACTGCAACGTCTCAATCGAAAGCGATCTTATCGTAAGGGTCTCATGCACCTCCTCATAACCCTGGAGACATGACGACAGCATCTGCAGGCTGCGCAGTGCGAGCATCAATGCGGGGGATCGACGCAAGCCACAATGTTCCCGCCACTGTCTGCGAGGTCACGAGAGACACGACATCAGCTGAAGGGCATGCGCACGCAGCACCAGGTCTACCACGGAACACAGTACGCGCTTGACATGTGAATGAAGAGCCCTGCCCCCGATCTAAGAATGGATACATTCAATGCGCATTTACCCTCGCAAGCGAATGCGACTTTTCCTCGCCATTAGCAGAAAGCAATGATGGCCAGGCAAGCGACGTCCCTTCGACCTGGCACCAATCGCATCTGCTCTTGGAGCTCTCCACTACCATTGTATCATTTCAAGCTCAATGTGGTACTCTGCAATAGAGGAAGATCTCATCGACTTTTGAGACGAGTTCGGTGCTTACAGGAGGGTTACAAGTAGTCTGAGGACCCAACACTTGATTCAAGCTCTAATCCAGGAGATGTCATGGTATCTCATTCTGGCAAACATCAAGCTGATGCAGAACCTTGAGTAAGTCATAGAAAGAGAAAGGTGCTCACTATCAACAGAAGCAAGTCGCACCTTCCTCGCCAACCAGCCAATGACAACACACCCCAACGCGTCGTGTCTTCCCCACCAAACGCGTCTTTCACTCACCCTCACCGCCCCTCCAAACAACCCAACTTCCATTCTGAAAAAAATTATGTCAGACACGCCAATTCCCATCCACGAGCCGCCGTCTCTGCCATCGTCACCCCTCCCAAAGCGAACCAAAGTCATTGACCCCACTCCTCTCTCCCACGCCTCCACTCTACCACGAGGAACAGACTCGGGCGCCGCGACACCAACACCTCTAGCAGCTTCACACCTCCCCAGCCACGACAACATGGCAGCACTACAGCCTTCAGCGCCAGTTGGTGCTTCGTCATTAGCTAGTGCAGCGGCGGCGGAGCAACAATTGCAGGTACAATTGCTGAGCCCAAACGCCAAGGCGCCGACAAAGGGAAGCGCTTTCGCTGCTGGGCACGATCTGTACAGTGCAGTGGAGACTGTGATTCCAGCGCGGGGGCGAGCATTGGTAGCGACGGATATCAAGATCTCAGTACCGGATGGGACGTGTACGTATTTTTTCCCATACATCAATCACTGAGGAGGCTGCTGTAGACATTTGCTAACGTGTGTTCAACAGACGGCAGAGTAGCACCCCGCTCCGGTCTCGCCTACAAACACGGCATCGACACCCTCGCCGGCGTAATCGACGCAGACTACCGCGGCCCCGTCGGCGTCATCCTCGCCAACCTATCCGAGAACGATTTCCCCGTCAAGATCGGTGACCGCATCGCCCAACTCATCGTCGAGCGCGTCGTCATGCCCAGCGTAGTCGTCGTCGACCAATTGGAAGATACCGTACGGGGAGCTGGCGGTTTCGGCAGCACAGGAGGCTTTGGCGCAGCGGCGGCCGTTGCAACCCAGGCGGCGGAGACCGCGACAGAAGCTGCTGAGGTGGCTGAAGTAGCCGCGGACAGTGTGAAGGCTTAGGTGGCTGTACGCCAACTTAGGAAAAACTGAACACTTTAGAGCCTACGTTGACGTTGGGTCACCTACTTTGCAAGTTCTTGTTTTAATCTAGTCTGCAGGCCTGTTCAGTTTTTTCCTTGTATGAAGTGGTCTGGGTTGAAACACATCTTCAGCCGTTGATCGTAGTCACGAACTGACGATGCTTTGGCATTCATAGAATTCAGCGCGTAACGTCTACACAACCAAATATCATGAATCACCCGCCTCCTTCTTCTCTCCCTCTCCAACAATCTTACCCTGCGTCCCTGACTGAAGCACCTGCATCGCCCCACCATCCTTCGTGCCAACACCCAAATGCAGCACGTTCAACTCATCCGGCTTCCTCTCCCCAACATCCGCTGGTACACTCTCCCCCTCATACACCGCGCGTGGCCTGAACCGCTCCAGATCCGGCGGATCAATCATCTCCTTGACATACCGCGGAACCGTCACTTCACTCGCATTCATAAGCGCCAGATGCCTCTTCTTGGCAACCTCCTCATCCGCCTCATCGCCCTCACCCCGCCCTTCCTTCGCAGCACGCGCATCATACGCAGCCATCTTCTCCTGACACGCCGTCGTCGTGCGCGTGAGTATCGCTTGCATAGACGCAAGAACCTTCTGACATGCTTTCGCCAACGGCAGTTCCTCGGCCGGCACATCGTCTGGTGAGCGCCAGCTCGGTTTCGCATGCAGATCAAACTCGGGTGTAGACGCGTCGTGTACGGCTTCGATGAGGCGAGGGATCGTGAGCGCAGCAAACATATCTCCTGTTCCTGAGAAGAAGAGCGGGAGTTGCGGGGTGTCGATGCGGAAGAGACGGGGTTTGTAGTCTGAGGTTGCCGTTGAGCCGATTATTGTGAGGTTTTCGATGTCGGAGAGGTCGATTTGGGGGGCTTGGAGTTGGGGGGCTGGTTGGGAGGTTGATGCGTCGAGGTGATGGGGGTCTGAGGGAGTGTGGGTGCCGGTGCCGGCTTTGGATACTGGTCGCGAGGGTATGGTCTGGTTGTCGCGTGTCAAGCGGAGGGAGGTTATGATTACGTGCGGGACTTGGTAGGTCTTGTGGAGGACTTGGATGGCGGCGGCGAGGGACTTGAGGTCGGTGATGGGGGTATCGGATAGTAGTCTGTGTCTCTGTCAGTAGTTGCTGCGTGTGCTGGACCGGTCTTCAGATATACGCACTCGGCCTCAAACTGATTCGGGAGTATGAGATCTGCCTCGCGCAACAGTCCCTTGTACTCTGGTACTTCATCCTCCGGAATGTACAACTTGCCATTGTCGCCCATGACCGGATCGAGCACTGCCTTGGTCAGTTCTGCATCGTGCGACCTCGCACATGAACCCACCCCAGAAGAAGCTGCCCGGCTTCGTGCCAGCATTGAATTTGATATCCCTGCCAATCGTCCCTATCGTTTGTACGGCTTCGGCGCTGGGCATGTATCCGGTCAAGAGTACGTCGAAGTTGGTCAGGTTCGCCTGCTGTAGCCCTTCGTACAGTTCGAGGATTTCGCTCGCGGATGTCTTGGTGCCTTTAACTTGCTTGTATGCCGTGTGATTACCTGCGACGTTAGTTATGCGCCAGTCGACGGGAATGGGCTACCTACTGTAGTGCACAGTGTTGATCGCAGAGACGTCGCAACCTAGCGATTGCATGACAAAAGTGGCCATTTTGTTCCCAACATAGCTCAGCTCAATGTCAGTGTACTGCATCTATCGCGACGACACGCGACTCACCCATGGACCACCTACAGCATGTTAGCAAGAAACAATCTCCCGCGCGTGAGTCTTACATGACTGGCAATCGCAAGCACGCGCGTGTCCGGTATCAGCGTGTCAGAAGCCATGATGTATGATAGTAAAAAACAGTCAAGGGAGGTGAAATAGAGCGTGCAGGTGGGGTACGTTGTTGATTTACTGTTGATCTCCTTATCTGAAATTCCGCGACATGACGTGAAGCCGTTGGTGGGGCAGTAGCTTTCCTTTTGTGCCTAGGGCGCGGAACACACCACGCGGCACCGCGTTTTCGCCAATGTCGCACGCCAGAACCTTGAACTAACAGACGCTCGATGCATATCAAAGCCATTGCGCCGCAAATCCCCCACATCTATCCTGGAAACATGCCGCTCGTGCGTGAATGAAGTCATGATGCGTTTAGTCCTCGTCGCCAATCTGTTCATATTAGCAATGTGTTGGTGTCCTGCGGGATAGATACATACCTTGGGCGCGAGGTAGAACCTCAGGTAGCTGGACTCAAAGGGGTATTCGACAAGAAGGGGAACCTCGCTAGATAGACAGAGCTTGACTTGAGTTGACAGCCCGCTCGCCTTGCAGAAGTTGATCAGGTACTTGAGTGAGAAAGTGAGTGAGACAGGTTCATTCATCTCAACCGAAACGTTCTCCTCTGGCTTATCGACGCTGGTGGATGTCTTGAGGATGACGGAGCCCGAACCAATGTCGCCAGAGCACGCGAATTTGATTCCATCCTTGGTGCACTCAATCGAAACTGAAGCAAAGTTAGTTTGTTGTATAGTGTGCTGTCGCGCTGTCGCGTCTGGTTCGGGACGTACCTGACTCGGACAATGCGCCTAGGTCCCTGCAGATGCGCTGGAACTCAGCCGATGGCATCGAGACTGTTGCCGCGTAGTCCGTCTCAGGAATACCGAGATGTTCCTGGTCGATATCCATGAGCTTAATATCATACTCGCTCAGCCTCGATGTGGTGCTGGATTCGAAGAGCAGGTTGACGACATCAGGCGAGTCCTCAGCCTTGATGGTAAGGGCGTCATCGTTTCCAGCGGCACGAAGAACCTTTGTAAGAGAACCGAGGTTAATTCCGAGCGCGATGTTGCGGTCGCAGCGGAAGGGATCGAAGGCTTCGGATTTGAGCATCATGGAAACAAGTGCGACGTGCGAGTTGTCCATGGCCTGGAGCGCGATGCCCGAATCATTGCAGTCGAAGTTGCAGTCCTGTACGAGGTCCTTGATGGCGTCGACGACCTGTCGCTGTCAGAAGAGCTTTTGCTACGCTTCCTACGCGAACGTACCTTCTTGAGGATTTGGGCCTGGGGTAGTTTTGCCTCGAGCACTGCAGATGGTTAGCTTTGTTGGCCACATGTCAAAGAAGATACATACTGTTGACTGTGAACGGAGATTAAGAGGGTACGATAACGCTGACGGGGGTATACAAAGCGCGGTGGTGCAGGAGACAATTGCGGTGGAGGCAACAATCAATGGAGGGGAACGCGAAAGTGGTTGGCGAACGCGTCGGCCACGCGCTAACTCAGCACAGGGCATAAAGTACCGCCAAGACCATACCCTTCGTGCTTGACTGGTTCCGGATTGCTGTGGTATTGATTGCTCCTAACAATGGATACGCTCATTGTGATCCAAATATCTAACATGGTAGTATACTTCTAATAGAGGACGCGCAACATTTCAGGAAAAGCGTGATCATGCCAATCTGAATCAGGTATCAAACATCGCGAGTCGATGTATTCAGGTGGGTATCATGGTGAGGCGATGCAGAAACAACCCATCCGCATCCCGATGGTTCTCTTCCCACCTTCGATTACTGCTCGCTCACTCTACCAGCTGCACGGACTGCACAGCCTCTGACCTGCCGCCGAGTGCTTCTATCCATGCCATGTGCTTGTATCTTGTGCGTCCGTCACCTGTGACCATTCCCACCACACAAGCGTTGAAGTCTAGCGCTTCGACAAGCCATCAATACCATGTCGTTCGTAATATCCTCGTATCCTCCATCCAATAATCCATTTATATCGCAACATTGCCTTCTCATGCTCTAACCAAGCCATAGAACAGCGTCCAAGTAAGAACGAATCCACTCAACCCCCCAAACACATCGCCCAACCACAAGTCACCCAGCGGCCGGTAGAAGTATGCGCCGGGCTTGCCATTTGTCTTGAGCGCAAACAGCAGCGCCGATACCACGAGCGATCCGAGGAGGTAGAATATGAAGCCTGTGTACGACTCGAGGCCTAATGTGCCTGCGGCAACGCCGAAGAGTGATGCGGTGAGACTGCGGATGTTGGAGATGACCTGTATTGGGTTTATGTTAGTCCAGGAAGGCTGAACAGGGAGGGAGGAAAGATTGGTGTCGCGCAATGGGGCTGATGGGGCTTGGTGGTGTGCGTACCTGAGTGTTGTGCTGTACGCTGCTTGCGACGATTGGGTGGATGGCGAGTTCTCGCTCTTCGTTCAGTGCCGATGCCGCCATTGTGTATGTCTTGTGATGTCGGACAATTTAAGCGTCAGATCCCGACTGGTTGTTGCGGAGATAGGTGTTCGGTCAATACACGGGCGATGAGTTCGGCCGTGTGATTGCTGCTTCGTCCGGAGCGCCTCAGTGCAGGATCGATTGTGACGTCGTGGATATATGCAGCGGTGGAGAGGACTGCGATGTATGTGGAGAGCGTGAAGTGTCGTGTGAATGCGCGATGGTGCTGTGCTGGCTGCTTGGGGTAGTCGCAGTGCTGGCTGGACCTTCCGACGGCAGTGGAGTTGAGTGGAGGGTGGCCCGTGCATGGACCCTGCCATCATCCATGGATGCGCCCGCGAACACGAACGACCCACGAACACCTGTCACATCACCCTTTAATTTGTCTGACAGCACGAGTTCTATAATCTAGGTTTCGCTCTAGTTATTCAATGATATTACTTCTCTCTACATGTACTCATATATCGTCATAAAGGGGTCCATATCCCTCGAGATACCTTGATGTGTCAGCCCGATGCGCCGCTTCATCGTACAGGACGAGCACTCACCGTTCCAAATGTGGGGCCAGAAAGTAGTTTGGCATTTCTCTTGCGGCTCGTAGATATGCAATTGCATGCTGAAAATATCGACCGTTGGCTCTTACTGATGTGATATTTCCCAGACTCATGAACGATTCGGCAGCCTGGTTAAAGTTAACGAGAGAACATATCAATTGTGGCTTTACTTATTGTAGACAGCAGGTAACCTGTAACCATCCCCTGTTCCGTCGCTACGTATACTGCACGCTGGAGATATTCGGTGGCTGGCAAAAGCAATCCTCTGGCTTCGACATAATCTGGCTCATGCAGTCGTTCTTCAGCTTTAACCGAAGCCCTCGTTGCCGATCCAGTGTTGCTTGTTTCGCTGCTCAAAGATGCCCTCTCCGCCCGAGAGATGCTTGACAAAGCCCTCTGCGCTCGCAGTAACCAGTTGCGGCCAATTACTGCAGCAGTCAGCGCTGCTCGATATCATCTGGAGAAAACCCACAAGCCTGGATGTCGACGTCGTCTGGGTATATTTGAAGAAGGACTAGTAGCTGACGCAGGCACCAGTCTGCTAAGTCTTTGACAGCACCATGATCAGCATCGACAAAAGCCACACGCTGAAAGACGCTGATGAGAGGTACCTGCCAATGCCGGCGTGCTTCGTCGGGAGTTGTATCGTTTATCTCGAAGGAGGCAGTAATGTTTTGAATGGCTGGCAATTGGTCTTGCCACGAATCAGGTGATGTATCGAGATTGGTGTTGATCAGGTCGACAGTAGTCAGTAAACGTTCGATCATACTGTTGTCCATGCTGATGAGAAAACGATGAATGCTAGGTGGGAAAAGCAATAATTGCTACACATGATCGTGACAAAGACAACACATGAAGTATAAAGTCAAGATACAGCCTGCTTGACAATCTGTGGCGTTTGTTACCCTGGCACGGTATGACTGTCCAGAGGCGCAGCCTTGTTCTTGACGTCCGGATAGACTGGAAGACGAATGGGAGTTGCCGAACGTTGTTCGTCATTGCATGTGTAGGTGTAGTGTAAGCTGACCGATTAGTCTGCAACCCAGTCACCCACCCGGACAAGTCTGCGCATCAAGCACCGAAGAAGGACTATTTCGCGACGTTTTCATGCTCGTGGCTGTAACAGTTATATCCGGCCAAGGAAGCAGTGGCGGCGAGCGGTCAGAGGTGACATCTAGGCGATTCCGAGATGTTGTCGATACATCGTACTCAGCACGTTGCCTGCGGTTTTGTTCCGTCCGTAACGCCGAAGTTATCCACGGGAGGATATTCACCAGCGGCCGTTCCATGCTTTGTAAGCTTGAGGCTCACACTTCCATTAGCTTCCGCGGTCAGCACGGAGAATTTTGAATGCGACCTGGAGGTTGCTTTTGCGGGATCTGCAAGCCACATGCTTTTGTAGATGCGATGCTGCAGGTACGTCATCGATAGCGTTATCGATTATCCATGGATAGAAACGGCGGTTTCTTTGGTTGTACCATACATTGCAGAAGGCTCAGGTACCCGGGCAACGCTATACCGATAAAGCATAATACAGGTAAAGTTTACATTTGGTGCCCTATTCAGGCGGTTCCGCTTCTTCGAACACGGCAACGTTATTGTCGAAATGGAAGGCCGAGTGCATCGCAGCAACTGCGCAATTAGTGTACCGCCGGTGCCAATACAATGCGGCGGAGATGGGTATGGACAGATTAGTCCGGAGCATCAGTGCGAGGACTAGGATGGCATGTCGGAGGACGTGCGGCTGACTCGCAGCCTCGATATCGGAGAACGAGTGAGCGAACGATGGAAGTGATGGTTAAGAGTGCCGTTAGATGAGTTGTTGTTTGTGTGTAGCCAGATGTTAGCAGGGAAACGACGATGCACACTGTGGCATGCACGCACATGCCATGGTCGTCATCCACACGTCGGCCTCGAGGACAGAGCAGGCGCGCGTATGCAAGGAACCAGGGGCACGTTTGTCGAGGGGTGCGTAAACGAGCGAACGTTCCCCATGATTGTTTCACACCAATCACGAGTTCATTTCCGGACCCTGACCTATACCACTATTACTACCAGAACCACTCACACTCACCTACACCGCGCATGTGTCTCCCACGCTTCTTTCCTGCCACCAGCCGCCTCGTTCCCCGTTGACAGCGCCCACGATTGGATCCCACGCACAACACGCGCCGGCCCCTGCAGCAGCCATCCCCGCCATTTCCATATCACGGGCACCTTCCCTCCCTAGCCTAGAGCACCCGCAGTCATCACAAGCGTTGGAGCGGGACCCTACAACAACACTCGAAATCGCACCATGCGGCGGTAGCGACATGGAGAACATCATATCCGACGGCTCGCCTCTTGCGCAGTTGCTAGAAGGTGCGACCCGCCGCACCACGACGGTGACGATATTGCGGATGCTAACCGCTGTGGCTTAGGTCAAGGTACTGGGTCACCCGACAACTCCCCAGCGCAATCCCCATCGCAATCCGCCTTCCCCCAGAGCTTCGCGCCTCGAGGCCCTTCGACGCTGCAATCACGGATACGAGACAGGCTGCCCCAGCCGCTGCGCATCCACGCCCGCCATGGCTCCATAGCCCGCATACACACGGCGTGTTCGGTACGACTGCGATATTCCCCCGACAGCACATGGATGCTTATTAACGTGACTTAGAAAGCCGTCAACTCTCGCATTGGGCGCGCCGACAACGAGCGCTTCCTGGAGCAGTTCCGCTACCTCATCGTCGCTTCCCAGCTGCTCGGTGAGCAGGGAGGCCTTCGCGCATCCGCCATTCCCAGCTTCGCGGCCAACGGACGCCCTGGCCCTCACGAATTCAAGGTCGCAGCGATAAATCCCATCGGCGCGGCTTTCATTGGCACTGCAACCTTCATACTGGCATGGCTGGTTCACTGGTCGCGGCGCCAGCCTGCGTTCAGCAAGAGTAGAACCCTGCTGGTCATTCTGGTCTTCGCTGCCATTGCTACCGCCGGCTACACATACCTGCGACGGCAATGGCTGCAGTATCTGCGGCAGGAGGCCGTCAAGGGCGCATCTGACCTGGTCGCGAACCTGCAGGCGTTCGAAGCCTCTACATCGTCTGCCCTTGCATTGATTCAGGAAGTCGAGCTCGTCTCGCGCGGCTATCGATTGTACGTCTCCATCTAACCACGGTCCATGGTATTCACACTAACGTCGCGCAGGAGCAGTCCTCTGCCTCCCATCTCGCGCATGGAAGAGAGGGGACAGGCCCGCCGTTGCCAGCGACTGCGTCGGAACCTCCGCGCTGCATATGCCGACATCGTCCCCATCCTCGCCGAACAGTGTCGCAATCTGAAGCAATTGATACAAGAGGATGATCTGGAAAAGTACCTCGATGTGTACGAAATCAGCAACCCGGACATGCAAGAGGCCGCCTTGAGTTACAGCGAATCCGAATTCGATGACGCCGAAACGCTGAAAGCGCTGCGCACCCTGCAGTATCGATTGTCCATTCTTCGACGTGTATACCTGTGCTCTCTTCTCGCCATGGAGGCAGACGGCGGCAAGCCTGACTTTGCGCGGTGGTCCACAGTCGTAGATTCGATGCTCAATACGGCTCGTCCTGTGGGAGAATGGAGTGAGAAGTTCAACCGCGTGCTCGCCGAGGAAGAGCAGTTCGTACTCCCATCGCCGGCCAAGGTTGCACCCACGCCTGGCCGAGAAAAGATACGCAATTCCGTGCGCAAACTGTCGGGCCTGTCGAGTGGCATCCGAGGATTGCAAGCCAAGATGCAGGTACTTCGCGAAGAGACCAGCAAAAGCTTAGAGGACACGGAAGACGTAACGGATCTGGGCCACTCTCTCCTAGTGCAATACGACTCCATTGGCGCGGATCTCAAGAGTTTGGTCCAAGCTTGGGAAGCTGGCAAGAACGCGCTGGCTCTGAATATCGATCGCCACGAACGCAGAATCTCGCAGGCATCGAGTGGGCTGCGCTCGCCAGTTCCAAGCCTGGGCGGCCTGACTGCTGTAGATGAAGGCAGTCCGTCTGATGCTCTACGCGCCCTCAATGGTGACTTGCTGAGCCCCCATCAGAGTGCGCCGTCGAGCGATCAAGGCAGCAATTCCGACGACGAAGTGTTCGAAGCTATTGCTATACCCAAGACACGAGCCACTATGTCGAGAGAAGAGCGGATGCAGAAGATCCAAGAAGACCGCGTTCGGCAAGCTTCGCTACGTGAGCAGCGAGATGCGAGCACCAACATGCTGAGAGAATTAGAGTCTGTCATCAATCTCAGACCACATCGAGTCTCGGCGCCCCCGGCCGGCGCTCGAATTACGAGCCTTTGAGGCATCTTTTCCTTTTGTTTATACGGTTGGACTAACGACGGTCGCTAGATGCCGCGTTTCTTTCGCTTGCTCTACTTCTTGGCGCGCATCGGGTCTCAATTTGATTTTGGGCATTTACGCTATACCATTGCCGCGGTCGCATTTACTTTCCTACACATGTCTTGGAGTCGAAGGCTTAATGTCTATAACGCATACCTTGTGGTCAGAACATCCACACAGAATAGTAATGACAAATATCAATACCACCAAAGCGAACCACAGTCGGGGTGCTCTCAAACGATCTGTCGTTCGTTCGGCACTTGGCTTCCGGGCCATGGAGCGTCGACGTGGCTGACGGGTGTTGGCCGCGGAAAATTGACCATCCCTGGACCTCACGGTAGCGAGATGCGGCTATTGGCAAACTATAGTATACGCCTTTTAGGACAACTTGCATATGCGAGGGCTTGCGAAACCACTTCATGCACTCAATACGTATTGTATTGACGTCAGGTACGTGGTACTGTATGACGATGCGAGACGCTGTCACTTGCTCTTGCGCAAATGGCATCCATCTTGGTCCAGTCTTACTCCACCAACATGGGGGGCAAGACGGATGACCTCAGCAGCGAAAGGCGTGATTCATCCGTGCGCAGAGTCGAATGGACAACCTATGACCATCGGATCGAATGATCATGGGATGCTTCGGATGGCAGTTGCAAAAACGCCTGTGACGTTCCGCTTCCAGGGTGATGAGGAGCAGCTGAAACTGGGTTCACGATCGACTGCGACCCGTAGACTAACCGCTCTTGCCCAAGACGACCGGGTGATCCTTCCCGTTGGGCTGCCTGACGACTCAGTGCCCCTGCCATGAACCTCAGACGCCGTTTCTACTTTCCCCGAGAACCATCGTCACTTCACCCATCGCTTCACGCCAGTCATGGTGGGCCCCAATTGAGTCTGCCATATTCTACCATTGTTCTATAACTCTTGCCGATGACGAACGCCCCGACATGTGTGCCTTCTTCCGGGTCTCCGGCGGAAAGCGCAGCTAACGACCCTGACCTTTACCGATTACGTAGACCGCATGATTGCTCTTTCCGTCATCAACACCGACATATGCGCGCAGCAAACCCTCCAAGATATCGACGATATAACAGAAAGAGTCAAAATTGACAGATGAACACACAAAAGAGACGGATAATGAAAGAGCTACGACCAGCGAGCATACAAAATGTCTTCTTCGTGAATGGCTGTATCGGGCCGACTTAACCATCCACACAGACGGCACCGCCAGGCACTCGTTCAGTCTTCATCCTCATCAACGACGCCATCGGTCCTCGGCACAGGTGGAGGCGCACCATGCCGTCTGCGCATATGCACTCTCAACCCATCCGAACGAGCGTACTGTCTTCCACATCCGTCGATGGGGCATGGATAACGAACCTTGGCCCGACTGGAACCTGCGCAAGCCTGGGTTTTGAGGTGACG